AAATGTTATGGGAGTAACTGTCCACTCTTTGATAGGATTTAAGGCCCACTCCACGAGATGAAGCCCTCACCTGACACTGCTAAAGTGGCCATGAATTTGAGATTAGATAGGTCATAGGCCCTAAGGGAAAGCCTACTATTATTCTGATAGAGGAACATAGCAATAAAATGAGTACTAATGACGTATTCTTGTACCCATAGATCAGACCATTATTTTACCCGCATGAGAGAAGTTTCTTCTTCCAGTAGGTTAGTAGGTGGTAATTAACATAGAGACCCACAACTGGACAATGTTCAGAGAATAAGGGACTCTGGAGCACTGAACCCTAATTGGAATGTCTTAATCAAACCTCTCCCTTCAAGGCTCAGGGATCTTTGTGGAATAGGAGATGGAAAGATTGTAGGATTGTAAGGCGGTAGCAACTCTAAGGAAAGAGCCTCTTCTAGGCACAACAGAATGACTCCAAGCGGACTGTGGCAGAATGCGCAAGACCTGCACACGTTCAAACCAGACAAAATCCCAGCACTGGGGAGGGGAGTGAACACAAAGCCCCACCTCTAACCAGTAAGTTATTTCCAACAGATACCTGCTGGGAAAGGGAAATCAGTTTTCTCCAGTGCAGTGTGACTGAATGTATCAACCACACTCCAGGACAGGCCTCATGCTCAGTAGTAAGTGGCTACCACAAAATGGACTCCACGTTTTTGTTGGTTTTAGTTGCCATTGTTGGTTTTGTTTGTTTGTTTGGTTGGTTGGTGTGTGTGTGCACCCCTACACATGTATGATATTTGTTTTGCTTTGGTATTTTTTGACATTCCCTTTTTGTTGGTTTGTTTGAATTTTGGGCTTGGGGGTTGTTTTGTTTGAGAGAGAGATAATGTGAAGTTAGTAGAGGAGGAAGGTGGGAGGATCTGGGAGAAGTTGGGGAAGAGGAAATCATATGATCAAAACATTCCATGAAAATAAATTTTCAAATAAAATTATTACAAAAAAGAAAAAAGATATTTTCTCTACAAGCTGCCACGGTGGCACGAGGCTGAAGCAGAGGGGACTGGAGCGGAAGGCCCAGGAGTTTGAAGTTGGCCTGGGCAACATAGCAAGACTTTGTCCCACAAAATTTTTGGGTTTTTTTTTGCATACATTTAGAATCACATAAGGAAGTATTAATATTTTTCTTCAATTGTCACAGATAATTGAGAAAATTTACCGGGAAAAATATATTATTTTCATCCATTTTCTTTCTGTTAGAGAGTTTGGCTTAGTTATTTTATGGCTAGTTTTCCTTTGGGGAAAAAGGCATTGGGCCAGGGAGGTTGCTCATTAGTTAAACCACTTGCCGAACAAACAAGAAAGATTGATTGATGATTGATGTGGAAGGGTTTAGCCCACTGTGTGCTATGCTCTCTGGAGAGATGATCATGAGTTGTGTAAGAAATTATGCGGAGCAAGCTCTGAGGAGCAAGCCAGCAAGCATGATTCCCCCTTGGGCTTTACTTCAGTTCCTGCCTCCAGGTTCCTGCCTTGAGTACCTGCCCTGAATTCTGTTAGTGATGCAGTGTGACCAGAGAGTTTTAAGATTAAATAAAACCTTACTCTTTAGGTTGTTTCTGGCTATAGAGCATTATCTCAGCAATAGAAAACCCAATTAAGGCACTAACTGAAGATATTTTTAAATTCTTAGTATGCAACATAATGGGTTTCATTATGATATTTCATATACACCGATATAACTTGCTTATATTGTTCTTCTCCCTATTTTCCTCATTCTTTCCCCACTCTTTGGTCCCTGTACTGGCTGGTTTTCAGTCAGCTGGACACAAGCTAGAGTTATCAGAGAGGGAGGATCCTTAGTTGAGGAAATGCCTCTGTAAGATCTAGAGATTTTCTCATTTAGTGATCAATGTGGGAGGGCCCAGCCTATGGTGGGTGGTGCCATCCCTGGGATGTTGGCCTGAGTTCTACAAGAAAGCAGGCTGAACAAGCCAGGAGAGGTAAGCCAGTAAGCAGCTCCCCTCCATGGCCTCTACATCAGCCCCTGCCCCTGGGATCCTGCCCTGTTTGAGTTCCTGTCCTGACTTCCTTCAGTGATGAACAGCAATGCTGAAGTGTAACCCAAATAAACCCTTTGCTCCCCAACTTGCTTTTTGGTCGTGATGTTTTGTCGCAGCAATAGAAACCCTAAGACAGACCCCCTCTTACATTCTCAATCTCCTTCTTTTATATCATATATGTGTATTTGAGAAAAAACATGCAATATTTTCTTTCTTCTGTACAATATCCTCTCTCTTTATCACAAATTCCCTCATTTAGACTCCTATATATCCTTTCATGGTCTTTTTTTTCTATTTTCATGTCATATATTTTACATGTAAATCTAGATTCTACATTTGACAAAGAGCATATAGTATTTGCCTTTTAGTTAACATGACGAGCTCCAGCTCCATTAACTTTTCTGAAAATAACACAGTTTCATTCCTCTTTATGGCTGAATAAAACTCCATTGTGAAGTGTTTTCCCCTATCGGTTTTAAAGTTCCATGCCTGATATTAAAGTCTTAGGTCCATTTCGTTTGGGAGCTATGGAGTCAAAGCCATTGCTCACATTTGATATTCTCCACCATTCTCCCCCATTCATACCCCTCCCTGATTTCATCCTTCAACAATACTCTTTTCTTCAGTCTATGCTTTTGACACCTCTGTAAGCATATAGCACTTTGGTGTGTCTCTGAGCCTTCTATTATTTTCTAGCCTCTGTCTATGTGCTATCACCCTGTATGAGTTACTCTTCTGTTGCTGTGATAAAACACCCTGACCAAAGGCAACTTAAGGAAGACATATTTTGTGGGGGCTTATGGTTCCAGAGGACAAGGGACAAGCATGGTGGCCTCAGCAGGAATCTGAGAACTCGAATCTTCAACTGCACGCAGGAATCAGAGAGCTCAGACTGGAAAGTAGGGTGAGGCTATAGCATCACCAAGACCTCCTCCCATGGCGTGCTTCCTCCAGCAAGGCTGTACCACCTGAACTTCCCCAAACAGAGCCAGCAACTAGGAACCAAGTATTCAAACATCTGAGCTGATGTGGAGGCCATCACACTCCAACCACCACACAACATGTAGCTTGTGGCCATATCATAACAGAAAATTCATTAAGCTCAACTTTTAAAGTCCCCGTAGATTTCATAGTTTCAGCATGGTTTAAAAGTCCAAAGTCTCTTCTATGACTCAAGGCAATCTCTTCATTCTAACCTCCTGTAAAATGAAAAAGCAATTTCTGAACTTCCAACATGTAACTGTGTAGAACACATAACTGCATAGAATATATTTATTGGTTTATTCTTGAGTATATTATTTTTGGAGTTATTGTGGATGGGGGTGTTTTCCTGAATTCTTTCTCAGGGTACTAATTGTTGGTGTGTAGGACAGTTACTGATTTTGTATTCTGATACTTGGCGTTTGTCGGTTCTCAGTTTTGTGTGGCGTCTGTGGGGCATTTTAAACACAGGGTCATGTTGGCTGCAGATAGGAATAATTTGGTTTCTTCTTTTTCTTCTAATCACCCTTTCATTTCTCTTTCCCTATTGTTAAAGCTAAATCTTGAAGCATTGTATTGAGTAAGATTGGAGAGAATGAACACCCCTTTCCCATTCCTAATTTTAGAGGGAATGCTTTCAGTTACTCGCCATTTAACATACTATCAACTATAGCTTTGTCAGATAGAGCTTTAATTATACTGCAGTATAGTCCTTATTTTCCTACTGTCTTTAGACTTTTTTTCCAGGAAGGAATATTGAATTTTGTTAAGGGTCTTTTTTTGCATCTATAGATATGGTCCTGTGATTTTTTTTCGTAAGTATATTTACATGATGTATAATATTCATTCACTAAATAGCATATGTTGAGCTATCTGTGAAAACCATCAGGAAAACCAAAGTGGCTGTGGTCTTAAATTTTAATGTAACATTGACTTCTGTTTGCTAGTATTTTAGCAGGTGTGTGGTGTGTGTGTGTGTGTGTGTGTGTGTGTGTGTGTGTGTGTGTGTGTGTGTGCCCCCATGGTCACTGGGTAAATTGGTTTATAATTTCCTTTTTTGTTGAGTCTTCGTCTTGTTCTGGAATCAGGGTAATCCAGCTTCACACGATCAGTCTGAGTGTGGTTGTGTTTCCCTCTCTCCTCTTTTGTGGACAGTTTTGAGGATAATTGGTGTTGGCATTTCTTGTGGTGGGTTTGGTAGAATTTGGCAAAGAATACATCTGGCTTTGGACTTTGTTTTGTTGAGATATTTTATTATTGCTTCAATCTTATTACTTGTTACCAATCTACTTAAATTGTTTATATACTTTTGACTTAATTTTGGTAAATATGTGTCTAAGAATTTTTCCATTTTTCTATATTTTCAAGTTTGGGCAAATAAAAATGTTCCCTAATGGTCCTCTGGATTTTTCTGGTATCAGTTGTAACGTCTCGCACTTTTCACCTCTAACTTGAGTAACTTGTGTCCTCCTTCCTCTTGCTCAGCTTGCTAATGGCTAAGGTCATGTTTGTTTTTCAAAGAACCAACTTTTGTTTCCACCAATTGTTTGTATTGTCCTTTTAGTCTCTAGTTTATGAATTTCTGTTATCTTGTTTCTCTATTTCATGAATTTCTGTCATGGTATTTATTATTCTTTCCATCTGTTGCTTCCGGGACTAGCTTATCCTTGTTTGTTGTTTATTTTCTTTTAGGTGCATCATTAAGTTCTTTTAACTTTTAAAGATGTCTTATTTTATTTTATGTATACCAGTGTTCTGACTGCACATATGCATGTGTACCACATGTGTGTCTTGTGTCCACAGAAGTCAGAAGAGAGCATCAGAGCCCCTGGAACTGGAATTATAAACAAGTGTGAGGCATCCATTTGGAAATGGAACCCAGGTTCTCTGTAAGAACAAGTACTGTTAACTACGGGGCCATCTCTCCAATCTCTGTTTTGTATTTTAATACAATCACTTTCTTCTTAGAAATACTTTTGCTGAAGGACACAGTCAACAAGACAAAGCAACGCCTACAGAATGGGAAAAGATCTTCACCAACCCCGCATCTGACAGAGGGCTGATATCCAGAATATATAAAGAACTCAAGAAATTAGACATCAAAATGTCCAACAGTCCAATTAAGAAATGGGCTATAGAACTAAACAGAGAATTCTCAACAGAGGAAGCTCAAATGGATGAAAGACATTTAAGGAATTGCTCAACATCCCTAATCATCAGGGAAATGCAAATCAAAACGACTCTCAGATACTACCTTACACCTGTCAGAATGGCTAAGATCAAAAACACTGAAGATAGCTTACGCTGGAGAGTATGTGGAGCTAGGGGAACTCTCCTCCACTGCTGGTGGGAATGCAAGCTTGTACAGCCACTTTGGAGATCAATATGGTGCTTTCTTAGAAAATTGGGAATCAATCTCCCCCAAGACCCAGCTATACCACTCTTGGGCATATACCCAAGGAATGCTCAATCATACTACAAGGGCACTTGCTCAGCTGTGTTCATAGCAGCATTGTTTGTAATAGCCAGAACATGGAAACAACCTAGATGCCCTTCAACTGAAGAATGGATAAATAAAATGTGGTACATATATAAACAATGGAATGTCAGGAGCCAAGTAGCCTAACTGATTCTCATGGGAAAAAGCTGTGTACCTAACCTTCTGTTAACAGTTTCAATGCAACCATTTTTCAACAAGACCACAGTATGTACCTTTTGATCAACTCCTTGAAACATAATGGTTTGCTGTATGGTCCGTTGACCAGGCCCTGGAACAAAGAGACCTTTTCCTGAACCCTACCTTACCCTAACTTCCTCCTAGTAACTTTCCATACCCCTATCTACTTCTCCTAGCCCCTAGCATATATAAGCCTGACTCCCCTTGCAATAAACGAGACCTTGACGTGACTCAGACTGACTTTGTCTTCCTTTATGCGCCTGGTCTCCTTTCTCTCTCGCCCCCATTGATCTTTCAGGAGGTGCCTCCTTGGGTCTCATCAAATAACCTGGCCCGCGGGATGGGTCAATGGAATACTACTCAACAGAGAAAAACAATGATATCATGAGGTTTGCAGGCAAATGGATGGATCTAGAAAAAATTCATCCTGAGTGAGGTAACCCAAACTCAGAAGGACAAATATGGTATGTACTCACTCATAGGAGGATACTAGATGTAAAACTAAGATGACTAGACTGCTACTCACAACTCCAGGGAGGCTACCTAGAAAACAGGACCCTAAGAAAGACACAGGGATCGACCAATGACAGAGAAATGGATGAGATCTACATGAACAACCTAATATTGGGAAACAATCAGGTAATTAGACATTTTTGTTACAGAGTCTATGGTTCTTGGGGTCATATCATCCCAACTGAAATAGTTGTGTGTGTGTGTGTGTGTGTGTGTGTGTGTGTGTGTGTGTGTGTGTGTAAGTAAACATAAATTAATGTTTTCCTATGTCTTCCCTCTCTCCTCCTTCTCCTTCTATATTGCTCTCCTCCCCCTTCCCTAGTTAAAGCTCCACGTTTTTGGCACATGTGTGTCCTACTATCCCCATTTCTAGAGCTCCCTCCCTCCCTTATTGTCACTTTTTACTTTCCTGCTTTCTGTGGTTACTCAAGATTGTATACTCGCCGGGCGGTGGTGGCGCATGCCTTTAATCCCAGCACTCGGGAGGCAGAGCCAGGCGGATCTCTGTGAGTTCGAGGCCAGCCTGGGCTACCAAGTGAGTTCCAGGAGAGGTGCAAAGCTACACAGAGAAACCCTGTCTCGAAAAACCAAAAAAAAAAAAAAAAAAAAAAAAGATTGTATACTCATATCAAAAGATTTGGAGCTTAGATCTGCAAAAGAGAGAGCATGTGTAGTTTATCTTTCTGGATCTGAGTTACCTTACTCAATATAATATTTAATAGCTAAACTCATTTACCTGAAGTTATGAACGTGGGAGGAGAACCTGTTGACAGGGACCAGGAAGTCCTTCATCAGTGACAGGGTCCAGAAAGAAAGGATGAGAAGATTAGAAGATAAAGAGGATAGGAGGTAGAGGGGGAAAGTTTGGAAATGGAGGTCTTGTGCAAAATGTGTCTTAGGTCATGCAAGCTTATTAAGAAGTACAGCACCTTATATGCTATTCCCAGGGGAGAAATGTGGCAGAGTCAACAGGAGCTATCTTAGAATGGGACAAAGTCAGTAGGAGGCTAACCAAGCAATGTTTCACAACGGGAACACAGGGTATCCCCAAAGCATTACATCCCAAGCACACAGAGGCCTTGGGGCTGATAACTCCAGTCTCTTTAGGGCAATAAGCCAAGTTCCCAGGAAGAAATCTTTAACTCCTTTGAGACCCACACCTCATCTTCAGACTGATCTTGCCAAGTCCACTCCTGAGCAAGGACACAGTGGGTTCCTTTTGTTCTTTCATGGGGGCCTCTGAGAAAGCTTTAGATTGGTCTGGTTCTCAACACCTCCCACTGCCACTTTTTAAAATCAGTCTATTGCTGCCTGCGTTCGAACTACTTATCCTTATAACTGCAGAGAAGTGTAGCTCTCCCTCATCAAAGAAGCTTCTTTTTGCAGCAGATGGAGATCATTACAAATATCTACAACTGGTCAAAGTGCAGGGAACAAATGACCATGGTGTCCCCAACCCGGGGGGGATGCATCTACAGCACAGCCCATACGCCCAAAGCACAGGGAACATTGGGGATGAGAAGATGAAAAGATCATTAAGGTCAGTGGAAATCTGCCATGAGACTGTGCCTCCACAAAATGACAAGGACTCTTTCCCATAGTACCTCAACAAATATAGTCGTCTAAACAAGACCCGAGCAGGGACAACACCCATAGACACAGTAACACGAAAGGGGGAAGTCTCAAGAGGATCGCCACTAGAGAAAGGGTTACAGACAATTAACTGCTGGCAAGAGGGGAGGATCAGTCTTCTCCAGGGGCAGGACCCTATCAAAGGTTGGCCAACACCAAGTGGTCAGCTCTAAACACGTGTACATATGAGCAACACTGAACAGACTCAGCAGGTTACACACTGCCTTAGTTAGGGTTTCTATTGTGATAAAGCACCAAACAACTTGGGGGGATCAATTTAATCTTACAGTTTGTAGTTTATCATCCAGGAAAGTCAGGGCAGCAGCCTGCAGGCAGGAACTGATGCAGACGCCATGGAGAAGTGCTGCTTACTGGTTTACTCCTCATGACATCCTCAGCTTGCTTTCTTATGCACCCCAGGACTCCAGGGATGGTGTCACTCACAATAGGCTCGACCCTCCTACATCAATCGTGAATGTAGAAAATGCACTACAGGTTTGCCCTCAGGCCAGTCTGGTAGAAGTATTTTCTTAGTTCAGGTCCCCTCTACCAAAATGATTCTCGCTTGTGTCAGGATGGCATAAAACATAGCCAGTACACATACGTGCGTGTGTGTGTGTGTGTGTGTGTGTGTGTGTGTGTGTGACAATAATAATTAACAAAGAGGTCTTGAATTTGAGGAATTAAGGGGTACATAGGAGGAGTTGATAGAGGAAGAGGGAGGGGTGGAAATGATGTGAATACGGTACTCATATGAAATTCTTTCTCTGTATACATATTTATGTTTATATATAATTAAATTAGAAAAAGAAATGATAAACAAAATAATGATCTACAGTTTACTCTTTGGACTCATCTGGAAATGCAGGGTGGATCCTAACATACTTTTGGCTTAACAGAACAGGCCACTAGGTGGCACACACACACACACACACACACACACACACACACACACACACACGCCAGATCTGAAGAGCTGTGTGACTCAAAGTGAAATTGACATCCGAAACAAGGCTTAAAATAGGCTGTGGGGGTGGGATTGGCATGTGGAGATCCCTTTACTTGTTTGTAAACCCACCTCACAGGATTGGATCATCTTAGGTTCTATAGCTGGGTTAAAATGGTTTGGCACATGATGAGAAGAATAATGGAACAATTTGTCATAGATTTTAAAAATAACAATTATAAGGGTAAAGAGCCTAGAAAAGAATGGACTTCCTTTTTTCCTTCCTTCCTCCCTCCCTCCCTTCCTTCCTTCCTTTTTTCCTTCCTTGCTTGCTTCCTTCCTTCCTTGCTTTTTTATTTTCTTCTTACTCTCTCTCCCCCTCTCCCTCCCCCACTCCTTTCCTTCCAGTACCAATCACGTATCCAGGACCTAGCTTAGGCAAGCACTCTACCACTGAACTACATCCCCATCCACCCAAATCATCCTGATGGTGAAAGATTAGATGCTTTCTTCCTAAGCTCTGGGAAAATGAAGGGTGATTACTCTCACACCTCCTAGTCAGCTCTGTTTCAGAAGCCTTAGCTAACCAAAGAAGACAATAAGCAAGTTACGTTAAGAGGGAAATTATATTGAAAATGAAAAAACAAAACCATCATAATTTGTAGTTGACACATTTGTCTTTGTACAAATTTCCAAGGATTGTACAGAAATGCTCTCAGAACAAAAATGTGAGTCTAGAAAGACTGCAGAGTGTGACGTCCATATGCGCACTTCTCTAAGCCTTCTGCACTCCAGCAATGAAGAGTTGAAAACTGAAAATAAGCAGAACAGGAAGAACAATGCCCCAGTTAACACAGGCCCAACACAAACAAACACTCAGCTGTCCCGGTTGTTCATGTCTCATACTCAAATGCTGAGAAGAGAAATCCAGGGGAGGCACACAGTATGACCAGTGGATGTGATGAATTATGAGTCATCATTGGAGGTGGATGCTTACAATCAAGTCAGAAACTGGGGTTGTGAAGGACAGCAGAGAGTGTGTGGATAGTTGTTATTAAGCAGTAAGTACTGACTCAATTGATGTTCATGGGGGAAAGTAACTTTTACCTCTCTATCACACATCATGCAGGAAGTCAGTTCCAGGTGGAGTTTAGATGGACATGTGAAAGGAAAGGTAAGGAGGTTGCTAAAGGTGGCCGCACCAGAGGCTACAGTCATGGTCTGAGCAAAGTCCCCACAAGAAGGCACACAAAATAAAAGGAAATGTTACTATATTTGAATTAGGATTTTGTGTCCACAAAAACAAGCCATATGAAAACAGAAAAATAAATCAATCAGATAGTCATCTCTGTTCATAACACACATCTGGCAAAATACTGCAACTTCAAAGAAACTCAAAGATTAAGTTAGAAAAAAAACTCAAGAAAACTCAAGTTAAAAATTGAAGAATTGACTTATTTGCAATTGAACAGGAACTTTATAAAAGGGCTCATCCAAATGCCCAAAAACATATGCAAAGGTGATCAGTTTCACAGTCGACAAGGAAATTATAACCTCTAAACACGTGACTTCCTGCCCTCATGACGATGTGTTAATGAGGTCCTGCAGTGGCAGAGGCAGAGGTGTGCATTGGGAAATCTCACTCACAGTTATTTCCACTAGACCAAGCAGAACAGTTACATGTCTAGGTATAAAACTCCACACAGGACACTAACATAGGAGCTGCAGAGATGGCTCAGCAGTTAAGGACATTTGCTGCTTTCATAGGACTGGAGTTCAGGTCCTAAGTCCCAGGTTGATGGCTCACAATGACTAGTTACTCAAGCTCCAGGGGATTTGATGTCCTCTGGTGACTTCTGCTGCAGTCAGGGCACACACATAGACACACACAGACACACATAGATACATACACATAAATAAATAAGAAAATCTTGAAAAATCCACTAAAATATGTTTGGAAACATACTCATAGTTACATTATGCATAATAATCAAAACTGAAAGCATTCCAAATATTGATCAACAACAGTATAAGGAAATACATTCCATTAAGTCTTTAACGGAATTTAGTCTATACAATAGATATTCTAAAGCTACGAAAAAAAATAAGGACTTCTCTACAGTACTATATAGACAAACC